CTACATCCATCGTGTCTTTTATGCGTTTTGTTTTACACTGCGGTGTTCAGTATGTTTCTGTTCAGAACGATTACCAATACAGTAGGACTGAAGCCTGCTAGTTTTGTATGTTCTACCTTACGTTCTGTGTTCCTCCTTCCCACTGTCCAGGCGTTCTTTCGCCATTATCAGGCAACTTCTCGGAATAGGCTTTGCATTTCCTGATTGTTTCCTTATCGTATTTTCCAGTTACGTTCTTCATAGTTGCCAACAGGTGACAGCTCACATTTTAACTTGAATGAATCTGGTTCAGATTATTGCCAACTCAATTTCAATATTCTACAAAACCTGGACTGTATAAAAATTCAGAGCCTCCCCGTCCCTTCTGCTGTCATTGGCACAAAATTACTTCTTTATACACGAAAGCCCATCCGGACGGTTTTATATAACAACTGCTTTTTGCAACAATTGCCCTTTAAACCAGACACAGGAAGAACAGCGTTACCAACCACAGTGCATTCATACAGCCTTTTATTAATGTTGACACAGTTTCCTTCAGTGGTGCTCTTATTGCATCATGGGGAGCAAATCAAGTTACTATTTTTTTCTGAGATTTCCCTTTGATATTTCTCACAGGAAAGGTCGGCCCACAATAATTTCTCTGAGTTTGTCCATTATCAAGAAATACCTTTATTTCACCATCATTTTGGAAGAGGCATGACAACTGAGTGAAATGTGTGCTGCCTGATCCATCACTGATCCTCTAAATAATCTCTCCAAACTACTACTGGGACAGTTAGGGAAATTTAAATGCGGACCTAACATGGACTTGGATAATGTCACCGTATCATTGTTAAATCTCTTCAATGTGATAACGGTGCTGTGGTTGCATATGGGTATGTCTTAGTCCTTGGGAGACACATGTTCAAGTATTTGGGTGAAGTGTTGAGCACTTAAGCAAAACAACAACAAAATTGAGAGAGAAAGCAACAAGATTATGGGAATCCAGGTGAAGGATTTTCTCTGTGTTCCCCCTTCAAATTTCTGTGTTTTCAAATGAGAAGTTGAGAAAAATTTCTCATATATTAAGAGTTACATGCTGAAGTATTATAGATCATATAAGGTAAGGCCTGGTATTTGCTTGAGAATAATCAGGAGGAGGAGGAGGTGGGCTGAGGTTATGTATGAGCTGAGATAGGCCCCAAGTTATTAATGGTTGCAGGTGAGAGCTAGGTAATGAAAAATACCTTATGTTGACCTGTCTTGTACAGGGACTCTCCATTGGTCCGTCAGCAGCAGAAGAAACAGCAGGGAAATGGTTAAAAGAATGAATTCTGGGTCCTAACCTAGATCTTGACATCTGAGAGTACAAATATGGATCCCGGTGATCTGTGTTTTTATTTTTATTTTTATTTATTTTTTTTTTTTTGTCTTTTTGTTGTTGTTGTTGTTGTTCTGGGAATTGAGCTCAAGGGGTGCATTACCACTGAGCCACATCCCCAGCCCTTTTTCATGTTTTATTTAGAGCCAGGGTCTTGCTGTGTTGTTTAGGACCTCGCTGAGTTGTTCAGGCTGCCTTTGAAATTGCTGTCCTCCTGCCTCAGCCTCCTGAGTTGCTGGGATGGATTACAGGTGTGCACCACCATGTCTGTCTGTGATGTTTGTTTTGAAGAGCTGTGTAGGTAAATCTGATGCAAGCCCATATTCCAGGACCACTGGTCTAGTGTAATGTAATGGACCTGGAGATTATTTGTAGGGTGTCTATATATTCTATTTGCATATGTTTGAAATTAAAAGAACACAGGCTTCTAAGTAAAGGAACCACAACCCAGATGTGTTACTGAACAATTCTTAATAAAGTTTCAAAACAGTTAAACACAAACATAAACTCTCTCTCTCTCTCTCTCTCTCTCTCTCTCTCTCTCTCTTTCTTGCTCTCTCTCATACACACACTCACACACACACACACACACAAAAAACCCCACACACAAACACACACACACTTTCAAATGGAGAAGAACCTTGATTCTGGAACCAACCTGACAGAAAGAAACATCACACCAATCTCCCTCATGAGCAAGACACAGAAATCCTAAGCAAAATTTTAGCAAGCTGAGTCACCCAGCATAAAGCAAAGATAATATAAGCATACCTAAGTGATATTTTATCCTAGGAGCGCAAAGCTGGCGCAGCATTAGAAAACGAGAGATGGAAGGGGGGCATCCCAGAGGTCTGTATTGCTAATGGAGTCATTGGGTTGCTTGCTCTAGATGCTAATTAGATGCATACATCTAAGTTTTTGAAAACTCGCTGTGATATACCCTTACGGTGTCTACGTTTTTGTCGGTTGTAAGGGTAATTTTACTCCAGGTTGGGGAAAAACCTATCCAGGTCAGTCAATGTATTCATGGATTAAATGGCTACTGCTTTGTTGATTTCCACACAGGCAGTATCTACTTGAGTTTGCAGGATGAAATTTTGAACTGAGGAATGAAAGGGACATTGCTGCATGTGGTTAAAGGGAAAGAAGTGGAGGCAAGTGGAAGGAAGGAATGGAGAGAAGCAAAGAGAGAGGAAAGAAGGAAGGAAGGAAGAAGGAATGACCTCATGAAGGGGGAAATGCAGGGAGACAGTTTCTACATGAAAATTCTGACAGTGTTGTCTTTAAAATCAGGAGCAATCTGTAGAAGCCCAAATCTGTCATCTCTGTTAGATGTTGCAGCAGGTGGCAAAGCCGGTACTGTAGGAAGCCCATAGGATCAATTGAATTCTCAATACTCACAGATTCCTGGGATATCCCAGAATATCTATATCGGAAGGTTGAGATACAATAGTGTTCGATATGATGGCTGACTTTGTGATCAATATGCTTGTTAAAAATTCCGATGCATTTCTATCATCTCGATCCAAAGAAAAGGATTGCCATTGTGAATAGGCACCAAACACCAGGACAGCAACACTCTAGAGCATCCTGGGGTAAAGACAATAAATGAAGCAAGAGATGTGAGTGTACAAAAGGCAAAACTGAAAGGTACGTGAGAGATGAAAACGCTCAAGACCCACATGAGTGGAGAGTCCATCCTGGTTGATGAGTGAGAAGGATGGATATCCTATAGATTCTCAGTACCCGCTTAGTTGATCCATAGATTCTGTCAAACTGCAATCCAAATCCATGACCAGTGAGAGCACGCCAGTGGAACTTGACAGGCAGAGCTTGACTTGTATTTACACAGAAGAGCCAAAGACAAAGAACAGCAAAGATGTGTTTGGACAGGGTGAATAAGATGTAGGTTCTTGCCTTAGCCAACACATCGAGTGCTGCATTTTGAGAAGGGGAACTGACAGCGTGACAAGTAAAGGAGTTGAAAATGCAGGCAGAGCACCTGTGTCACCTCAAAGGGAGGCTAGTCTGGGAAAGAGCTGTAGGGAGCACAAAGCTCACCCCCCACCCTGGGAGCAACTGGCCTGCCTGGTGAAGTGGGTGCAAGAAGCCACTAGGAGGCGAGGGGGCGCGACCGCGGTGTGTCATGCAGTGAGGGAGCATCAGTGGATCTCGAAGCTCATTGGCCAGCGGCCACAGGGGTGGGAGGTAGAAGGCACTGCTGGAAGCTCATTGGCCTTCGTGGAAAGGCGGGAAAGGGAGAGGGAGCTGGAGCAGCAGAGGGACCTGGGTCTTCCCTCAGGTCTCTTATAGCAACTGATCAGTCCCGACCTTCTGGAGGCTGGGGTAACCACAGGCCAGCATCAGGGATACGACCCTCCCTCTCCATCCTTCTCCTCTATCTTCCCTCTCTCCGTCCCTCCCACTCGAGATCGCCAATTCCTTCCCCTTTCCTCCGCCTCAGTGGGGGTAACCGATCAGATCCCGAGGTGCCACCCACACCTATCCCCAGCAGAACCCATCTGGGGAGGGTCCCTTGTCCTGGCACCCGATCCCTGAAATCTGGCCCCTTTGGCAGGGCGAATGCCCATGCCTTTGGTTCTGAGGTGGGGCAGGATGGGAATGATTGGGCTGGTGAGGAGGTGGGATCATGCCCTCTGGAGAGGTCAGAGTGGGCAAGCAGTGAGGGCTGTGGGAAGACAGGGAGGAGAAGATCGTGGGCGCAAGCACAACTGTCGAATTGTGGAGAGGGGAGTGGAAGATTGCTGGGGGGCTGTGGAGGTCAGGCGTGGGTTTGAATGAAAGCAGAGCGGGAGTGTTGGTCCAAGAGGAAAATTAGTGCCCCCAGGGGCTGCCTGTTGGCTAGGACAGGACCTGGCACCCCATGGAGGGCTCAGCAAACATCTGTTGAATGAAGAGGGTTGGGAATGAATGAAGAAATAAAGGAAAATAAAAGTGGAAAGAGGGTCAGGGGTTCAAGAGAAGGACATGACTCTGTGGGGTGCAAAGGGGTGATCAGCTTAAAGGGCGAGCAGGGGAGTAATTAAGATTAAGGTGGGGTGCAAGAGAAACCAGAATGGAGTGTGAGGGAGGAGGAAACTGAATGTCAGGCATCCATGAGGCTATGAGTTGAGCGCAGGGCCTGTGAGATCCTGTGCGGGAGGGAACGGGTGCAGGAGGTTAGGAAGACAACTGGATGCTGAAGGGGACGCGAGGATTAATAATATTTGGGTTTAGCAGAGCTCAGGATGGATGTTGCATTAAAAGGGGGCAGCAGTAACTGTCCCAAAGGGGATGTGGGTGTGCATGTGTGTGCCTGAAAACGGGATGCATGGCGGAGTGAAGGTAAGCAAGGAGAATCATGATCAGATTGAACACATGAGGGACCCCGTGCCAAGAGGTTGAAGAGAGGAGGTGACATGAGAGCGGGGGCTTCCTGGGGAGGAGGCTACATGAGTAAGGAGGTCGGGTGAAGGTTGGAGAGAGCCATGGGGAAAGAAGGGAGGGCAAATTGATTCATGCGGTGAGCAGGATGGAGAAGAAGAATCCAGCCACCTGAGATGGGGTTCTCCAAGGGCAGAGCGAGTACACTAGGGATAGGGGATGGTGTGGCCATTCTGATCTCCGCTCCTGACCCTAGAACCATGGAGCCCAAAGACATACCTGCTGTGCCCTGCTGCCCCTCCGACTCCAAATGTACCACAGGGCGTGAGACCGGAGCCCCGTGGGGGATTGAACTTGGCCCCAGAAGAGCTATAGGTCGCTGTGACCGCTGCCACAACCATGGCATCACTACCAAAATCAGGGGCGAAAAGCATTTCTGCCTCTTCCGGGCCTGCAAGTGTCACAATTGTGCCTTCTTCTCGTGAGTATGGTGTCTGACAAGGGGAGGGGTCAGGCCTCCTCTGCATGCAACTAACCCTCAGCCTTCTATCCACCACTTTAGGGAGCAGCACAGGGCCTTGCCTGATCGGAGTGCCTTGAAGAGGGAGCGGGGCGCACGGCTCAAGAGGCACCCGGCTCAAGGACTGATAAAGACCATGGCTGCAGCCCCCAGATCGCACCTCCATGTCAAGAAGTTGGCCCTGGAAGCAGGCATCCCGGGTGAGTAGGAGTGTCTCCTGCCAGGGAGGGAGGTCTGAGTCTGGGTAGAGGAAGCCTGAGCAGCTCTGTGGCCAGTCCTACCACCAAATCACAGCGTCACCTGGGGTAAGGAGTACCTGGGCCTTCGATGGTCCGAGGATTTGACCCACTCACATTACCTGCCAAGAGTTTGTAGGGAGGACAGGTGTGGTGGCTCAAAAAGGCCCATGACAAGATGCGACCTCGGGGGCGGGGGGGGGGCATATCGGGTCTGGCCAGGGTGGTGGTGGGTCTGGCCAGCTCATGAAAGCTGTCTCTGGTCTTTTACAGCCGGGAAGGACAACACCATGACCCAGCCTGAGGCCCTCACTTGCGGACCCCCGCAGGAGGTAAGGAGAGGCTGTTGCCAGCGGGGGAGGGTGCCACCCAGCCACTGCTGGGTCCCGAAGCCACGGGTTCCATTTCCAACCCTGCCACTGACTTGCTGTGTGACCTGGGGAAAAAAGTCACTTGTCCCCGGGCCTCAGTATCCCCTGAGGTAAAAAAAAAAGGTAAGACGGGCCAGTCTTTTGAGGTCTTCGGAGCCTGACATCCTGGGCTCCTGTCTCTGTCCCCAAACATGCTCATACCTCCTCTTGCCACAGCCGGCCTGGTGCCTGATTCCACTCTGTGATCTCTGCCCCTGCAGGAGGGCTCCCAAGGGCCTGAGCCGTTCAATGGGCCCCCAGAACCTCCATCTGTGCCCTACTCTCTGGCGACCTTGGATCAGCAGCTGACTGGTTCTCTTTCTGGGGAGCCCCACAGGCACCTTGTCCTGCCCAGCATGTGAGTAGAACGAGGACCACGAAGCCAGCTGTGCCTTGTGCTCTTGTGTGCCCAAGCTCGTGCTTGGTGCCATGGGAGGCAGGAGGAGGAAGAGCAGGATGAGCAGGAGGGGTGCGAGGGGGAGGGGAAGAGGGGGAGGAGAAGGGGAAGGCAGCCTCTTAGACTGAAGGGCAAAGTCTGGACTCTCCCAGCCTTGCCATTTCCTATTCGTGATACCTTGGACAGATGACTTTATGGCCCAGAGCCTCCTTTTCCTAGCGGGTGTGAAGGGGAAAAGTCCACCCTACGCCCCCAGCATTGGAAAGACGACTAGCACGAGGTCTGCCATGCAGTAGGTCTGCAAGATGCGAGGACTGTTGTTGCACAGGAAACAGATGGGTGGGAGAACCGGTCCTCTTGGCGGAAAAAGGGGCTGTGATGAGGGGCAAGGCCAGAGGCCAGTAGAGAAGGCTTCCTGAAGATGAGCCAGGCTTGTCCTTTGAGACCCATGGGGATTGTGTGAAGTGGAGGCAAGAGCCAGCCCCAGCAAGGAACAGCAATCCCATCTCTCCAGGTGCTTTGCACATGAAAACGCAGACAGCTGTGATGCGATGCCCATCACCCTCGCGGTGGCCCTGGAGGGAAGAGGCCAGTAGGAATTTGTGTCTGGGGAAAAGGGTGTACAGGAAGGAAAACAGGCCAAGCCGGAGAAAGGACTTGCCCAAGCCACGAGGACCGATGGCCCCGTGGTCACTGGGATTCCCACATCCTGATATTGCAAAGTCCTGCCCTCTCTGTCTACTGGTGGTGCGTGTCCGCCAGAGGGTTTAATCCCCTGGCCTCTCCTCTCCTTGTTTCCAGATGCTCAAGTCTGCTCCTCCAGCCCTGTGCCACCCCTGACCCTCTTCTACTGCAGCCACAGGTCCTGGGAAAGAAGCGGGCTCCAGACCCTGGGAGGGACCGTGCTTAGTGGTGGGGAAGAGCAGAAGGCCTGGGGGGTGGGGGGTGGGGGCTCGAGGGAACTGGGGGCTGAAGGGGCGCTTGTCCTGGTGGGAGGAGGTGTGGCTCCCCAGCCCCCATGCTCTCACACCCCTTTCCTTTGCAGGTCTCCAATGCCTCCGAACAGGCTTCCCTTTCTGCCGCCTTGGAGTGGCAGCGGAAGCTGGAGGCAGCCGAGGCTCTGCTGGCTCTGAAAAACTCTTCTTGGGACCCTCCTGATTCCATGACCCTGCACCAGCCCTGCAGCCCACCAGGTAGCTTGCTCCTTGAAGGGTGAACATGAGGTGGGCACCCTTGGGAAATGGAGGCGGGGCCACGTTGTGGTGAGCTGCTTCTAACTGGGAAGGCAGGATGTGTGGGTCCAATGTCCCCGGCACGGAGGCCCTGAGGGAGGCTGGGACTTGCCATGATGCTCAGCACATCATATGGAAGCTCGGGGTCTCCTGCCTCCCAGCCCGAGGCCCACGCTCCAGTCCCCTGCGGTGTGCTGCAGTCTGGGGAGGAAGGCATAAGGAGGTGACAAGGGCCTCTCCTCCGGAAGGAGATCTGGTCCCTGACTTCAGGGAACTGCAGCCTGGACCCGGAGGCTGGATGCCTTCCCAAGCGGTGTTTTAGACATGCCCCAGAGTGGAAGGGCTGGAGGAGCTCCCAGGAGGGTTAAACACCCAGGAAGCCTGGGAGGGAAGGCTGGGCAATGCTGCACAAAAACGGTGCGCGGATCATGGTGTGAGAGGAAGTGCTGGAAGAGGAGGGGATGGGGCTGGAGAGGTTGCTGATCACGCGTGTCTGGCAGGCTGGGCTTGGGAGACCAGACCAGCCAGCGTGGGCGGTGCAGAGCCAGGCACTGTTTCTGACCTCATTATTCAGAGACCTTATTCAGAGACCCCAGGCTTGCTCCAAAGAGATGTGGTGGGGGTGGCTGTGACGGTGGGATGGGGTGGGAGGCGAGACTGGAGATTGGGAAAATCAGACCCCTTGGAAGGGGCCAGTGCCATACTCCCAGGGAGCAGATCTGTGATTGGGTTGGGCAGAAAGGGAGGGGGGAGCTGGGCGGGGACCTGTATGTGACCTGACCCTGCCCCCTTCCTTTCCCTCTGAAGCTCCTGCAGGAGAGAGAGGACTCCAGGCTCCCAGCCCTCCTCTGCGACCCAGGCCTGCCAGCTCGGTGTCACTGCCTATCGGACATCTGGGGTGCATCTCCCTCTTGACCTAAGAGCCCCGCGGAGGAGGCCTCGCCACAGCACTGCCTATTTGGGTATCCTGTTTCTGAATGTGCAAAATGTTTAATGTCCAAAATGCTTAACGTCTTTTTTTAAGCCTTCAGGTGTTTTATAAGCTTTCAGACCCTTTTTATGATGTGGGGCAACTCTTTGATTGAGGTTGGGTATTCTTGTACCTTCCCATCCCTTATTCCTTTGGATGCTGGGGCCTTTTTATGTGTCTTATAAAAACAGGATTGCGCAATCAATCTGTCAGCGGGGTTCTGAGTGGGTTCATATGCCAGTGTTTTCATGTGTCTTGTGATTGTGCACTTACCTGTGCACCCATGTACGCACCCATGCATGTGGAAACAGGAAGATGTTTTCACTTTGCGTCTAGGTTTGTGTGTGTGAACAAATAATAAACCCTTGTTGTTGTAAGGCACTGAGAAATATGGGTTGTTTGTTACCACAGTGTAACCTAGACTATCCCCACCCTAACGGTCTGTTTCAGTTCACATTATCGGAAGTGAGAGTCACTTGGGTTTTCACAAGGCTAGAGAAGGGCATGGTAGAGGGGAAGGAGTAGCAAATTTATCCACTGGGTGATGAAGTACCCACCCTCTGCCTGGCACAGACTGTTTTCAGTAGTCTGGAGGGCCACGGATCACCGTGCCCGCGGGATCAGGCCGATCAGGTCAAGGAGCAGAGCAGAGGCCAGGCGGGCTGTGGCCAAGTGAGAGTGCATGAGGGGCAACTGCCGTGGGGCTCCAGCCAAGGGCTTCCATGCAAGAAGGTGGGCTCATTGTTGCCCAACCTACTGCTTTTTTCAAGAGAAGATGGGACTCTGGATTTCGAGGTAAAATGACTCCATTTGTGAGCAGTGGCACGGGTTTCCTCTTTGAGCCCTGTTCCTGTGGGCCAGAACAAACAGTGCTGCTGGACAATCTTGGCTGTGGGGAGACCAGTGCATTTCTAGTCCAAGGTGAACTTTACAGTGGGGGAAATCGAGGCCAATCGGGACAAGAAGGATCCAAGGGGGGAAACGAATTCGAACTGGGCCCAACTTTTGAAGGACCCACGAAATATAAGGGAGAGTCACCACCTCATACTTGCTCTGTGCTCGCTCTGTGCTAAGCACATACAAACTCACAACAACTCTGCAAGTGAAGCATTATTCTTAAAAAATTTTTTAGCTATAGATGGACACAATACCTTTATATCTATCTATCTATCTATTTATTTATTTTTATGTGGTGCTGGGGATCGAACCCAGGGCCTCACACATGCCAGGCAAGCACTCTGCCACTGAGCCACAACCCCAGCCTCAAGGAAGCATTATTCTTGCCATGGAATCTGTGAGGAAACCCACTCAAGGGAGGGAAAGTGACTCACATCAGCGTTTTCATGGGAAATTTGAGCAAATATCAGGGAAAGTGCCTTGTCTTTGTCAGGCCCTAAATTAGCTGGTGATTTATTCTTATAAGGCATCAAACGAAGGGTTCAGACCTCAAAGCAACAGCAGCAGTCAGAAGGCCTTTTCAAAAGCACGTGGCCCCTCTATTTCCCACCCAAGGTCACAGTATGTAGTCATCGATCAGATGTCTCTTCCCTGCACCTGTTCCTCTATCCTCTGCTGATGTTCTAAAAAAATGGAGGAACTGCCCCGCCCCCCACAAGGCAGGCAAGGAAGCTCAGCTAGACACTCCTGGACTTGGCCTTTTCCCCATGCTTGTTACGTCTCTATGTCCTTCCCTGCCCTGATTTTACTCCAGACAGATTGATGGAGATGACATGGAATCACGACCACTCATCTTCTTGTTGTTCATTTGGTGTTTTATTTGTCTGTTTCTTCATTCGTTTTGGAGCCCCAAGAAGTCAGGTTTCTCCTATTCTCTGTGCGATGGGGAGGGGCAAAACAAGCATGCACACATCACTGAGGACTCAGAGCAAGATGGGAGTCCATCTCATACAACCGATTCTTCCTAGATGTGTTACGTGCATAAATGGTCCAAGGCCCTCCTACACCAGTGACAGATAAAGGGTTCCCCATATTCCTGAAGGGAGGGAGCAGAAGTACTGGAGAAAGCCCAAGACCCTACCATGCAACTATGTCCCAGGCACACCATGGACCCCACGATGGGTTGGGTACAAGAGCAGGTATATGTTGGTAAAAGGATACGGCAGGAGAAAGGGGAAGAAAAGAGAAACAACGTGCAGAAGTGGGGGCAAGGAGTGAGGCCCTCTCTGTTTCTTGAGGCTCACCATCCTTTACATGCAGGGCTGTTTTCAGACTTGACACAGCTGTCACACACGCACACACATAGGCACGTGAATGTGCACGCTCACATGGATTTCTGTAAAGTTTAGCACAGGCTGTTTCTGGTGTGTTTGGGGAACCTCAGGACGCCTTTGTAAATGTTCACTATCACGTGTTCTTGTGTTTCTCATTTTGTCACGTACCACCCCAGCTGACAGGTTGAAAACATCACGGTAAAGAGCACTTTAACAGTTATGTCTTGAATCTCTTGGGTTATGTCACCACTTTAGCTAGGCCTGAGCATACCCACCCTATCTGAGCCTCCAGAGTGACTCGATCTCACCTGGTAGGTGAAGAGTTAACAACGGGGTCTCTGGGGTTAGGGGAGGGTGGGGGGATGTCTGGCACTGTCCCCTTTGCTGCTTGTGGGATCCAAAAGGGATACCAGTGAATGGTGTGTGGGGAGGACACACATTTCCACCATTGAGATGCAATAACTGTAAATAACCTCGAGAACATAGATGATAGTGAGGTGCAGGAGAATGATTAGGGATTGGTGAATTTCAAGCAAGTATTACCTTTGTTTCCCATCTAGAGGATGTGATCGTTACTTCATATGATTGGGCTTTTCATAAGGGCTGTATTCAACAACTGGCTCTCAAAAGCCTGAAAATGTAACAGTCAGCATGTATGGTCCAGTAGGAGCTGGCTCCAGCACTCCTCTGATTTTGACCTTGGCCCAGGGAGACCAGTCTTCCAGAGTAGGCCACGTGAACAATGCACGCACACAAAGGGTTGTGACTTCTGGTCTCTAACCACGAACGGCTTCACACATGTATGTGGGAAAGTACTATTTTTAACCCCTCAAATGGAATGGCTTGGGACAAACATTGAGCTGAAGGAACAGCCAAAAGTGCTTATGTGGGAAGGTGCACTACTGGAGGGGGCCAAAGTGGGTAGAAGTGCACGGGAGGGATGCCAGGATTGGCGAAGCCCATACAGGGGTGCATTCCCCAGATTTCTTAAAGGATAAGGGAATGGGGGCCACTGGTGTCACCTGGGCCCTGCACTTGTATCTCTCACGAGACAGAGAGACATTCTTTCTTTCCCTCCTGGTGCTTAGATCCATGCTACACAGGGTCCACAAACTCCTCTGTTTGCCTTCTTTTTTTCCCACTTTAAAACACATCCTTGCAAATACTTGCTCACCAGATGGAGAACAGTGTTATTTCAGGGAATGGATGCATTGACCATACGACAAGGGGCCTTGTGAAGTGTTCAGAGCCAAATGCTTGAATCGCCTTTTCAAAAGTGTTGCTTTTGCTACCGTGTTCTTTCAGCGAACGGATGTGCGAGCCACAATGGAATGCATGTAGTGAAGTGCTTAAGCCACATGAATAGAAGCAGTTACCCAACGTGAAAATAAATATCTGTGAGATCACTCCATAGTGCTCTGCAGAGGCACCCCTTATTCCTTTCAATATCAACAGAATGGATGTGCCATGGCATAGTCCAATAATCTTATGTTGATGGATGCTTTGACTCTTTCTCTACTTGCTGTTACAAACCCTGGCTGCACTGACATAATCTTTACTATTTTTATTGCTATATTTTGGAATGGATCTGTAGATGTATTATTGCTGCTTAAAGGGTAAAAATCACAGGGTATCTTGCTCACTACTGTCAAATCCCCCTTCAGAAAGGTTGTGTCATTATCCATTCCCCATCAATATCTGACAGCACAAATTTTCCCAGTGCCTCACCAGGAGAGCTGCCAGAAGTTTTGATTGTGTTCACCCCATAGGTGACAAATGACATGCTAGTGTATATTTTAGCTTGCATATCTCTTGACTTTGCACAACTTTTTCGTGTGGTTCACAGTCATTCTTGTTTTCTTTTTTGGCTAGGCTCTCTTAATTTATATTATTGGCCCAGTTTCTACAGAGACTCAGCTTTCTTTTCCCTCTACAAAACACTCCTTTATATCTCAGGGATATATTGGGAGAGTTGCCTCTTTCTCTGATGTAAATTGCAAAACATTTCCCCCTATTGCCGTGCAACATTTTTTACGTCGTGGCGTTTTGGTTCATTTCATGTTTATTCTGTCATCTTTATCAATACATTGACTTACTTCTCCTGGAGATTTCCCATTCTTAAGTTACAGAGGATTGACACTTGAAACACTTACATGGTTTCACACTTTACATTTTAGACTGCAATCCATTTTGTAATTTATACCCATTTGTGGTGTGAGCCAGAGTTAGGGGTTCCCCACGGGAGTGGCATTAGCATGACGGTGGTAGAGAAACCCATGCACACGGGTGAGAAGTGTAGAGATCAAGTGTGAAGGCACAGTACATTGGCCACGGTTAAAAAAAAAAAAAAAGGAGGAGGAGCAGGAGGCGGAGGAGATGGAGGAGACAGAGGAGGAGATGTTTCTACTGAAAGGTGTATTCCCAGAACGGGGCATAGCTCTAGTGCCCACCCTCTATTCTACACAGTCTAGAGCAACCGGGAGGAAATCTTTAATAGCGGGCTCCTGTCCTGGGACTTCCAGGAAAATCATGTCCGTCATCCAATGCTCTGGCACATCTGAGGCCTGCGTGTTGATATAGATTCTGTCTCTCCTGACTTGGAAGTCGGAAGCAACCTGAGACAGAGTTTGGAAGGCCCTGAAGACAGCCCAGCAGGCTTCAGGAGCTGCATGCAGTTCCATAGGCAGGCACCTGGGGAAGAGAGAGATCAGAAAAGGTTGGAGCAGGGGTCATTGAACCTCCACCAATTGGAGAGCCTCTTCCTATGCACTGAGCCAGAATGAAAAGATGGGGAGAAGCGGTGGCTTCCTCAAATACCCAAGTGCCAACAGAAGAGTGCAAGACATGTAAGTCAGCACAGAAACATGGGCCAATCAGAAGAACCCAACAACTTCCAGAAGCTGACCTTCAAGAAACAGGGACATATGAGCAGCCTGACAAAGAATTTGAAATGCCCGTCACAAACGTCTTTGACAAGCTGAAAGGAGACACAGGTGAAGAGCTGAACGACTCCAAATACAAACCGAGAGTGTGTGTGAACACATCTGGAAGACTCACACTTCCTGGTTTCAAAGCACACGTTACAAGACTATGGATTTCTAAAGGGTATGAAGTCAGAAAATCGGCCAAGGGAATAGAACAGAGGAAAGA